GGGCGATGAACATCCTCCACTCACTGCGTTTCCTGTTTTGGTTTGTTGAACTGTTTTGTTTGTCTGCCCGCGTCTTGGGGCGGCATCTGAGCAGCGGGGGCAGCCTGGCTTCCGCCCCGTTATATTCCGTTCTCTTCCCGATTGCCGTTTCGTGGCGCCTGCTGCCTCGGCATGAGGCCGCCTTCTTGCAGCTGCTCCTCCTGCCCCGCTTCCCGCTTGCCTTCCGCTCCCTCCCTTTTCGCCTCTTGCGTCCCCTCCCGCAGACAGCCGTCTTTGCCGCCGCGACCGCTGCTGCTCAAACGCAACTCAAGTACAAACACACACACACACACACACTTCCTTAGAGCCATGTGCCGGCCGCGCCGCAGCATGCCACTTCTCCCACTGGCGGTGCTCCTGCTGCTGCTGACGATGCGCTGCGCCGGCGGGTGCCTCGCCGCCGCTCCCGCCCAGGGGCACCGCTGCATGTATGGGGAGGCGCTGTTGGGAGTCGCGCCGGCGACCGCGGTGGTGCGCGAGGTGCCGCGGAAGGGGCAGGGCGCGATGCAGGCGTACACCGTCGCCACGCAAACTGCAGATGGCAGCGACGGCTGGGCGCCCATCCGCATCAAGGTGTCCGCGAGGGACTTGGAGGACCCGCTGAAGCACTGCAGCGCAGAGGGGGAGACGCGCATGGCCGGGGATGGCCGCCGGGTAACCTGCGAAGTGGAAGATGTGTTGGGGGAAAACAAGAAGGACATTATTTTGCAGCAAATCCTCCCCGCGGCAATTAAGCTGCACGCCGAGCGTCTCTCCGTGAAGCCGGTGAGGGGTCTCATCCGTATGCCGGAGTACGGTCTAGGGATTTGCGACAGCTTTACTATTCCTGCCTGGCATCGCAGGGCCGGCGTGAGCGACGCCGATCTGCTGCTCTACGTCAACGCCCTTCCGACTGTGGGCGCGGTTGCGTGGGCGAGTGCGTGCGCCTGGCTGGTGGATGGACGCCCGTATGCTGGCGCCGTGAACTTCGGGCCCCGGTACATAAAGGCCAATCAGGAAACTGTCCGTACTGCAGCCCACGAGATTGGGCACGTTCTTGGGTTTGCATTGGAAGAATTTTTGAAGTTTCGCATGGTGTCGCAGGTCCCCAGTGGTCCCGGGAAGGATATGGCGTGGGTGGTTACCTCGCCGACGGTGAAGGCGCTGGCGCGGAAGTACTACAACTGCCCCACACTTGAGGGCATGAAGCTGGAGGACGCGCGGTGTGCGGGGTGTGCGGCGTCGCAGGGTTCGCATTGGAAGCAACTTATCGCAAAGGAGGAGCTGATGGCTACTGTGGGACAGCCGGGTTATTACTCGGCATTTACGCTTGCGGCGTTTGCGGACATGGGCGGCGTGTACAGGGCCAACTTCAGCATGGCGGAGCCGATGAGGTGGGGCAACAACTCCGGCTGCGGGCTGCTGGAAAAGAAGTGCCTGACCGGCGGCCACACCGACTACCCTGACATGTTCTGCAAACAGCTTTGGAATGAGAAGAAGCTGCTCTGTACGCATGACCGCCTGTCTCTGGGGTATTGCGACCTCGGGCGACACAAGCAACCCTTTCCGCCGCAGTATCAGTACTTCGAGGGCCCCAGGCTTGGCGGCAGGAATGTGTTTATGGAATACTGCCCGCACGTTACTGGGCGTGCGGAGTATGGGTGCACCAACGGCAAGGCTCGTGCGATTATCGGCAGCTTCATTGGCCCCAACTCCCGCTGCGTGAAAGGGAATGACCTTCAAGTGAGCGGAAAACCCATTGGCGATGTGTGCGTGAACACTCAGTGCGACGGCGGCAAGCTGAAGGTGCAGTTCCGTGGCGACGCAACGTGGCACGAGTGCGAGGAGGGCCAAACTGTTGAGCCCCAGGGGGAGCACTGGAGCGGGAGTATTGTGTGCCCCAAGTACGCCGATGTGTGCGACGTTTTCCCCAACATCAGCGCCTACCCAATACCGGTGGTTGCGCCGCCGCTGACGGAGAACCCAAACCCCACGGACACTGCCGACACGGTTGGCAAATCAGGCGGCCCCGACCCTGACCCCAGTGCCTCACCGTCCACACATTCATCGGACAGTACTTTGGCGCCTGTCATTCCAGCGGCCCCCATT